CTTTTTTTTTTTTTTTTTTTTTTATCTTTTAATTTCTGTCCTACCTCATATCTGGGGGCATTTCCGTAATATCCCTAACCAGAGAATCTAACAAATAAACTGAGCCCAATCTTGAGGAATATGATCGGCCCATTGGTATCGTATCAACCGTTTCTCTATAGTTACATTCATAATACAAAATGTATACACTTCTTCTCAATATATATATATATATATATATAGATATACACACACGCATGGTGGGGTGGTGTGGTTTTTACTTTTTACCATATGATTGTATTATATGTTGGGATCTAACACCAAAGCACCCAAAAAACGCACCTTGTCAGATCAGTACTTGTAGTCTTTGACGTGAAGGCTCTCAGATGCGCCCTCCACGAGCTTGGCATCGCCCTTGTAGGAACCGAGCGTGGCCTCGGAATTGGCCTTGGCTCGAGCCAAGAACGCCGACTGTGCCTTCTCCACGTTCTCCTCTTTCCCACCCCACGTCTTCAGCGTGCTCTGCTGAAGGGCTCTTCCGTACGAGAACGTCAGCCTCCATGGCTTCTTTCCCTTCGTTTGGTTCATCGCGTTGAGGTTCACCGTCGCTTCTTCCTCGCTCTGTCCACCCGACAGGAACACGATCGCTGGGACCGCGGCCGGGACTGTTCGTTGGAGGGCTCGGACCGTGTGCTCGGCTATCGCCTCCGGTGAGACCTTGGCGCTGTCGGAGCCTGGAGTCACCATGTTCGGTTTCAATAGGGTTCCTTCTAGGATGGCGTGGTGGTCGTTCAAGGCCTTGTAACAGGCGGCCAGGACACGTTCCGTTACGTATGCGCATTTCTCGATGTCGTGCGGGCCGTCTACGAGGATCTCGGGCTCGACGATCGGGACGAGACCGTTCTCTTGGCAGATGACTGCGTATCTGGCTAACCCGTAGGCGTTCTCGTGAATGGCTAGTTCGGAAGGCTCGTTGGCACCGATCTTGAGGACAGCTCTCCACTTGGCAAAACGGGCACCGGCTTCATAGTACTTCTTGCAGCGGTCACCGAGCCCGTCGAGTCCGATCGTTGTGGTCTCGCTGTTTGTACCAGCAAGCTCGACCGTGCCCTTGTCAACCTTAATACCTGTAAGGACTCCGCCTTCCTTCAACAGTTCGACAAACGGCTTGCCTGCAGAGTCACAAGAAACATCACCGTGTAGCGGAAAAACGCGAGAACTGTTTGTGTTTTAACCGATGTTTTGGTCGGATGAGACGAGATACCTGCTGCTGTCTTCTGGTACAGCGTTTCCTCGTAGAGGATGACGCCGCTGAGGTACTGGAGAGCTCCAGGAGTGGTGAACAAGAGCTCACGGAGAGCACGCCTGTTGGATTCAACGTTCTCAACGTTAATGCTGGCTAGACGCTTGCCGATTGTACCAGTCGACTCGTCGGCAGCGAGAATACCCTTTCCAGGAGTGCCGATGTAAGCGGCATTGGCAATGAGCTCATCTGTAGATGGATTCAACAAAACTTTCGATACAAATATTCTTGGACATAGAGACAACAAAAATGGGCTTTTTGCGAAATGAGGATCACTGCATTTTGATCTAACAACAAGAGCTCTCTAGATTTCGGGACTTCGTTAAAAATCGTAGCGAATTCAGGGCAATAACATAGTCCGCATAAACAATGTTTATCAGGCAAAATCGACGGGCAACATTCCGGACTCGGAAGAAACATACACAAATTCTCCACCCACCGACGTGAAATCATCAGAAATTGATACCTCCCCCTGACCGAACAACTAAAAAATAGCGGAGAATTCTTACCATCATATCAATACGACTCCTGATGAAAAGTTTAAGACGCAAAACAAGTGACAGATCAAAGAATCACAGAACAATTTCAGAATCCCTCCGAAACGTAAAGATCGAACAACGAAAGAATCCAACTCGACACGAAATCGAATCCAGAGCGCGAAAATGAGGGAATCAATCGGATAACGTAGATTTTACCGGCGTATTTGCTCTTGAAGCGCGACATAGCGAGAGGCGGGCGAACGGAAAGAGAGAAGAGTTAGAGAGAGAGAGAGAGGAGGTTTGAATTATGATGACGTGGAGGGGAGGGGTGGGGGTGTGAAGCATTATATAGGTTCGGAGAGGGAGGCGGGTGCGGCGACGAAAGGGGACCAACCAGGGACCCATAGGAAACGTCGCTCCTCGACTCTATGTGGACCCCACCTTCTCTCACGTGACCTCTCACGTGCCTTCCTATTTCTGAGATTTGTTTTTCCCCCCCCCCCTATGGTGTGTGTTTCATTCCATTAACAATTCCGACAGTTTTTTTTCCTCTCCTCTCTTTTTGTACAAAAAACAATCTGCAAAAGAAGACAACAACAAGAAAAAAAGACAAAAGTTTTGAGAATGTTCTTAAGAGTAGATGGTGACTGGGAAGAAGACAACATTTAAGCTGTCTTTTTTTTTTTTAAATCTTAACTAATCAAAACGCCCAGGTTGAGGTGCAGCCGATTTGATCAATGGTCTTAGCAACTCCATCATTGTTGCGAAAGACGGTCGCTTCCATGGCTCACTGCGATTCCATCCATTTACGTTAAACACCCATTGACGCAAAAAAAAAAAAAAAAGAGAGAGAGAGAGAAAGTTTGGAGCAAGAGAGATGAAATTTTAGAACGTACTTGGTCCAGCAAGCTTCGATTATGGCTGCAACCTGTGGGTTCAGATTGCGCGGAATCTCCAGCCGTTTCCCTTTGAACCCCACTGCCGCTACAACCTAAATGGCGCCACGAGGAAAATAATTTTACCATCATGGGTCACCAATTTGGTTAACAACCTCATAACTGAACCCATCCGACCCAAATCTGATATAAAAACTGAATGGTTATGACAATGACAACCGATGAGACAATAGCCGAATAAATCAAAGATTTCTTTGAAGAATGAGTATTCTAAATAAAAACCAAAACTGCCCCAAAATAGAACCAAACCGAATTCAATATAAAAAACCAAACGATTATAATTTTTGTTAAGGAGAGGGACCTGAGCCGCGTTTAAGTTACTCCATGGATGTTGCAGTGTAGTGAGCTCCCATAAAATAACTCCGAAGCTATACACATCGGACTTTTCATTAGACGGCTCGTCACGAAGTACTTCAGGTGCCATCCACTCGGGCTGACGTCCAAAAAAATCATTGAGTAATTAATTATTCTTGTCATTGAAACAAATATTAAGCACAAAAACTTGTTTTTTACTTACAGTTCCTGCTGCCGACTTTGACGAAAGAAACGTGTTCGCCTTCAAACGCGAGAGCCCGAAATCGCAGACCTGAAATCTCCAATACAAATCGAGAAATTAGAAGAGAAGTTGACAAGAATTACTGAGTGATGCCTTGGTTTTTCGTTCAATAAAATAACGTATACGTACAGATAAGAGATTAATACAAATCAGGAGACAAAACTAGATTATTAAACTGTTCATGCATATCTATAGTATGTATATATCTCTAATATAAGCCGATCGAAGAAAAAAGATAATATGGGAAAGGCAGAGATGGAGGAGGAATTTCCAGAAGTTCATATCGAACCTTGACCGTGTATTTCTTGTCAACTAACAAATTCGGTGACTTTAGATCTCTGTGCACTATGGGAGGATTGCGATTATGAAGATAATTCATTCCTTTTGCCTGCAAATGCATAAGAGAAAGGCAAAAAAAGAAGAAGGTTATATTCATTTTTAGCCTCTACTGGACAAAAGAATACGGAGGAATTACATCAATTTCGGATCGAAAGACAAAAAGGCATACCACATCATATGCCATACTAAACCGACGTCTCTCATCCAATTGCTCCCTTGCCCCGCCTTTATGCAACAGCTGATACAAACTACCTCTGTAATTTGGAAAATGAACAAAAGAAAATACGTTACGATAACATTAGCGAATATTATAACTTGAAAACCCGCAGTGTTTTTTAAGAACATGTCCAAGAAATCAGACAAAGAAGCACATAAAGGAGGAACCTTGACAAATATTCTGTCACTATGGACAAGTTTGGAGGCTGAGTGACAGCACCCATGAAGAGAACGATGTTAGGGTGGCGAAGGCGTTTCATTATTGCAACCTAATATGTAAATAGAAATCAAGATTATGGAGGGTATACCATAACAAATCAAAATAAATACACAAAAATGATTAAAAAAAAAAAGAGAAACTTTCAGTTGTGGACCTCTCTCAAGAACTCGTTTACACGCTCAGCGTGAAAGTCTTGCTCCATGAGAATCTTCACAGCAACTTCCTGAAATTGGTAGTTTCACTTTGCAATCATCAAATTTCTTAAATTTTCGAGCAATGATATCAGTACAAACTTATGGCACAATGACATTCAAATGATTTCCCTGTTTTCAAAGCCACAGCAATCAATTCCCAAAAAAAAGTGACAGCAGGTGGGGAAAGAACTAAAAAAACTTGTTGCATATAGAAAGCTTATGAAGTATTTTCTTACCGAGCCATGCCACTCAGCACGGTGGACAGTGCCAAAGGAACCTGAAAGCAAAGGAGATGAAATATAAGTGTTCAAGACATAGTCTTGAGACATCGGTTTTTATTCAATGTGGTTATCCAAATGTCAATAATACCTGATCCAATTCCCTCTTTTAGAACAAGATCACTCCATGGGACGTCCAAATCATCGATATCAAGCCCAAGTTCCCTGTTCTGTCCAGTAGGAACAGACTTACTGATTGGCAGTGCATTTATTGAAGATACTGCTGCTTGTACTTGATTTGGTGAATGCATATTGTTCCGCAGAGGCTCATCAGCACGGAGTGCGAAAGAACCACCGATATTTTCTGGCAATTGAGCAAGGTCATTCTGCTCTCCGCCCACATTATCATGTTGTCTATGATACATTGAGAATCCAGTATCATCTGTGATGATAAAACCATGTAGATGTAAGAAATAAAACTCCGGAAGACAAGCCTCATAAATGAAAAGTTTAGCAATGTAAGCTTTACTTAAATCTAAGGAGGGACAGATGGATTTGGAAGTACCTGAAGCAGGATCAAAAAAGATATTAAGCATCTGACAGTCTGCAAAATACTGTTTGGCCAGAGACTTGAAATCGACGGCAGGTTCAACTGGCCTTGGTCGTGGAAATCGCAATGGTGAATAAATTGAAATAGACGAGGGACCATTTAGCAAGGAGTCTGGCTCCCATAATTCACCCGGTTTCCCTACTAAGTCAACCAGATATTCCCTGGAATCAACAGATTTACAAAATATAATGGGGTTTTGTTGAAGAAATGAGAACATGTTGCAAAAGGACAAAACATGTGTAAAATAGACAAGATACCATATTAATCACTTGTAACCATACCTATCGAGCCCAAATCGGACGAGACACGATGCAGCATCATCCCTTTTACAATATTTGCACCCCTTTGCAATTCGACAAGGTAAATCAATTGTGTCAGCCAAAACCTGCATGCATCACATGGTAACTATAAGCCACTCTTTCTGTTTACATTCCACTGCATAAAACGGGAAACTATCAATTGTAATTACAGATAAACTGTTCTCTGGACATTAAAAACTGATTTTTTGTGAGTTTCTACAAAGGCGTGAAGTTTTTGGAAGAACTATCCACACAGACAAATGAAGAACAAATCGAATTCAAATGATCGTTCTGAAATGTAAGCCTTAAATATCATGGCAGTAGCATCAAAGTTGGGACCTCACTTTGAAGAGTAAAGCTCGATGTCTGCAGAGGCCAACCGAGAGGCTACCTATGGGAACCACCAGTTTAAAGCGTTCTCTTAAACCATCAGTGCAGTCTGTCCATACGGGAACCAATTCCTCTTCTCCTGTGGCAACTGGACCCCTGTAAGAGGCAAGAAATTAATATTACAACGAATTCAAAAACGGAAACGCGGATAAGGAAAAAGAAAGCTAGTTGTGAAAAACCATGAGGATTCACAGAATACAAACCCCATGTGATTACAGACAAGCTTTGCCAGCTGATCAACAACCTCTTTTGTGGTAATGCAGCTACAACATATGTTATGAACTCTACTATGCAGTTCCTTGAAGCTTGGATCGCTATGCCGATCAACTAAGATCACTTCAAGTGAAGAGCCATCACCAGACTCCACAGACCTTAATGATTCGATTGAAGGAATACGCCCACTATCATGCAGATCAACGCACAGGGTCCATATATATGGATCCAATCCATGAATCATATAAAATCCATCAGGAACTTTGTCAAAGTATGATAAGCAGCCATTGACCTGATGCAGTAGACAGAAGAATCAAATGCTGAAATGCATCAATACATCTCAAACTTTGCTTAAGATCTTTTTTCCAATCTTCTCGACATTCAAACTCAACTGGAAAGATGTGCAATTTTTCTAATCTCTTTCTCAGCTACCCATTTGTCGGAGGAACACAAATCAGTTGGATATTTTTCAACATAGTTACCGATAGTCTACACCAATAGTAGCTATGTCAATTTACCGTTCTGATAAGTCATTTGATTTTTGCAGCTCTGACAGAGCTTCACTTACAACCTTCCTATCGAGCCCCGTATCACATGTTTTCCAGCAATCTAGACATAATGCCCAACACAAATGACTATAAATGTCTCAATGCATAGTGATCCATCATAAGTAACTCATTTCACATCAATGTAAGATTTTTTTTCCTCACAAAGTTTGCAGTAGGGTTTAGGGTTTAAACCTCCTTTTCACTAGGACAATATCCGTTTTGAACAAATGGAATTAACAATTTTCTTTGAGAAAGGACGAGGATCATCATCAGCATTCGTTATGGCTAGAAATATCTATACGCACCTCGCAAAGCAAGCCAAAATACAGGGCAATTTTATAACAGAACGATCATGGTGGTGGACCAAAGGACCAAGTTGGGGTGCCGGGGAAGGGAATATAATAGGCAGCCTTACCCCTACATTTATGTAGAGAGGATGAGTCGAACCCCCGACCTCAGACTCCACGGTAAATACCGCTGAGCCAGGTCGGCCCATCAAGTCCTAAAAATATTAGGGTAAAATATTAACCCCAGATTTCCATGACTTTTATTGCTCTTTCCCCATACCTCTGCAGATTATGGCATATGGGCTAACGTATCTAATTTAAAAGATCTAAAAGAACAAGACTTTGTCCCCCAAGGATAGTTCAACAATTTCAGTAAATCCCCTACATTTGATCTTTCTCCCAATTATAGCATGATCTCCCACATGCATTCAGCAAATTCGATAGATGAGCATGAACCACGGACCACGGATTTTGCAGAATACAAAAAAGAAAAACCGAAACCAGAAAGAGATAAAGCAATTCAAAACCATACCCAGAATCGATGTGAGACAGTTTCAGCTGAGCTAGGCGAAGTCCGGAGAGCAGACTCGTCGGAGACCGGATCGAGAAAGTTTGGATCGTCGGCGCACGTGGCCTCCGACGAAAGCCGTAGAGCCAATGCCAACTGCAGCTGGTAGCTCTCCTCCGTCTGTTGCGCCCAGCTCTTCCCGGATGATGATCCTCCGGCCGACTCCGCTGTCATTCTCAACCTCACGTCTCCTCCACCACCGGCGAATCCGAGCATAAACCCGTCTTCTTGAACGTATCCAAAAGAATCGATTTCGTTAGCCGACGAAGATAAAACCGTGGGCATGTAGTATTCCCCGGACAGGGAGCTTTCTCCGAAGCTGCTCCCGCTCGAATGCCTCTGCAACCCGAGAGACGAAGAATACATATTGCCAACCCGATTGGCCGGGGTGTTCAATCTGTGATCGCCGCCACTGGGATCGCAATCGAATCCAGCTCTATCCGCCTTGTTTTTGCTGTTGTTTCCTCTGTTATCGGCGGCCGCACTCCTGTTGTCGCTGGAAAAGTAGTCATGGTGCGGTGGAGGTGCTCCGGAGACGGAGACGGAGATAGCGTCGTCCGGAAATTGGCTGAGCAAAGTGTAATTGGACCTCCTACCGGGCATTTCCATGATGGAATATTCCAATCAAGATGAAAGTCGGTTTTGTGATCATATAAACTCATAAACCCTAGAGACCGCCATTGTTGAAGAAGTTGGTCATGCTATTTCTCTCTCTAGAAGTTGGGATTTCTCAAGCTTTTTCAGTTCTCTTTCTTGGAATTTTGGTTTATCAGAGAGGGGGTCTGAACTCGGTGCCGTCTTCTGTTGATGTGAGCATGGTGACGTAATAAATTCGTCATATTCCTTCTTTTTTGCGCATTTTGTAATATATCTACAGAAAATTTCTGCTATATATAATATACATAATTTAGCGTCATTTATATTTTTGTTTAATTTTGGCCCCCCGCCACTGGGATCGCAATCGAATCCAGCTCTATCCGCCTTGTTTTTGCTGTTGTTTCCTCTGTTATCGGCGGCCGCACTCCTGTTGTCGCTGGAAAAGTAGTCATGGTGCGGTGGAGGTGCTCCGGAGACGGAGACGGAGATAGCGTCGTCCGGAAATTGGCTGAGCAAAGTGTAATTGGACCTCCTACCGGGCATTTCCATGATGGAATATTCCAATCAAGATGAAAGTCGGTTTTGTGATCATATAAACTCATAAACCCTAGAGACCGCCATTGTTGAAGAAGTTGGTCATGCTATTTCTCTCTCTAGAAGTTGGGATTTCTCAAGCTTTTTCAGTTCTCTTTCTTGGAATTTTGGTTTATCAGAGAGGGGGTCTGAACTCGGTGCCGTCTTCTGTTGATGTGAGCATGGTGACGTAATAAATTCGTCATATTCCTTCTTTTTTGCGCATTTTGTAATATATCTACAGAAAATTTCTGCTATATATAATATACATAATTTAGCGTCATTTATATTTTTGTTTAATTTTAAAAATTATTAAGAATTTAATCATATTCAAATTTTGTTCGAGTTTTCTGGGTCTTTTTATTAAAAGCAATGTTAATTTTTGTTCGATTTTTATTATAAGTTTATTTTTTAGTTAATCCGTTTTACAAAATTTATCTAATATGTTTTAGACTATATTAATTATTTGTGACCATATATATATATATATGTATATATGTATTATTCAATCCTCAAATTTATATAAATGGTCATTTCTAATTCTAGATAATGTTGTGTCTGGATGGAATTTTTGAAGGTCAAACTAAATACACACGTGAATGTTCTAAATAAGCATGTATAAGTAACGTTCCTAATTACATCACAATCCCCATAAAATAATGAGGTGGTTACAGTTTTATAAAATAAAATATTAGGATAAATTTAAATTAGTCTTTTAATGTGTATGTTTCTGACATAGAATATAATATTGCCTTCATTATATAAAATTTTAAGATATAAATTCAAATAACATTGAAATTTTATAATGAACAAAGACAAAATAAAATTGAATAATAAGGAAAGGGATAAAATCCTGATACTATCAGGGAATTCAACGGTCAATGAACTGTCTTTTATGTGGCTCGCGAATAAAATAATAGCAGTGGCCAGGTTCATCGAATATGTCCCGGTTCGTGAACTATGCCACTTAATTATTATTATTATTATTTTTGTCATTAATTGATTATTAAATCACCTCTCCATTCTCTTTAAGACAAACAGGTGCAATTGCGTTTATATACCAATACACACATGTACATCGCGAATATCAATTTTGGACCGAGGCTCAGAATCCGACCCATTTCAACCCAAAAAATAGCAAGTTTCAAATCGAGATATTTAGGTTCGAAAATTTTCGGAATCGAACTTTGGATTAGTCTGATAGTTCGATTTAAAAAAAAAAATCAAAAAGTAAATTTAATGGACTCGACTCGACTCAAAGTAGAGGTGACCATTTCGGATTTCGGTTAGGATTCGGTTCGGTTATTTCGGTTATAAAAAACTATAACCATTCGATTTTTATGTAAATTTCGGTTCGGTTCGGTTTGGTTATTTTCGGTTCGGATTCAGTTTAGTTTCAATAAAAAGTTTATTTTTCAAAAAAATTGTCAGGTTTTTCGGTTATTTTATTTGTTCAGTTCGGTTCGGTTTCAGTTTTTTCGAATTTAAAGAAATCATAGCCGTTCGGTTATGATATCGGATTCGGTTTAGATTTGATTATATCTTATTCAGTTCGATTCGACTCGGTTATTCGGTTAATATCCGAAATGCCACCCCTAACCCAAAATCTATCAAATCGGATTTCGGATTTAGGATTCAGACTTGAAAAAAAAATGAAAAAAATCGAACCGAATCAATCTCGAAATTCTCGGGCGGGTGCGGACTGACGCAATTGACACCCACTTACACATGAATTTAAACAATATTTACTAAAGGGCCAATTGCATTAGAATTGGGCCTGATGCCTTAACTTAATGGGCTTTTCCCAAACCCATTATAGAACGAAGACCAAATAAAAAGGGCCGAATTGCGAATTATTATTTTGGGTTTTAAAATAATAAAAAAGGACCATTACAACTCGCCATGGATGATTATTCACTTTTACAACACGTTAAAGCACAAAAACGATAAATTAAAATTCCACCCCACATTTTTTTCTTCTCTTTCATTCGTGCCCCTCATCACAACAAAGACACAAATCAACCCCCGACCCTAACGACTAATCAGATTAGGATCAATGTCAACACGCGCCACTCCCTCCGGCGCCGTCTTCGCCACCTCCACTTCCCCTCTCACCAGCTCCGCCGCCACGTCATCATCTCTTCCTCTCTCTGCCGCCTCCTCCTCCTCGTTGTAGTTCGGATCTCCCTCGTCCATCGCCGGCGGATCAGGATGAAGCTCGTAGTCAGCGATGTCGCCGGGACCCTCCCATGTGAACTTTCCGCCATGGCCGGTGTAATAACCCGTAAATTTTACCATGGAACCGAATTTTAGAAAATTAAATATAAGTCATAAAAATGTCCCTAAAATATTAAGTTAGACCCTAACCAAGTTGACCCGAAGGATTGGACCGAAACGAGCGAGAAAAACGGACGAAAAAAGGCCAGAACGTCCGGTCTGACAAGCAGACCGTCCGTTCCAGGCCAAGCGGAACGTCCGTTCCGCTTGTGCAGACCGTCCGTTCCGGCGGTCTTGGCCAGGTCACGCGCCGCCTCTCCCTTTCTGTTGAGTCACCGCCGCAATTTCGGCCTCTCTTCGGCGTGTGCCATACCGAAGGGACCAAGCCACTAGACCGTCAGTTCCAGACGGGGCAGACCGTCCGTTCTGGACACCTGTCTCCCCGTTTTGGTTCGTTCTTTCGGACCGAACGAAATTCGATGCAACCGACCCTTATACGTGACCTACCTAGACCCGTTTTCTACCCGAACCTCATGAAACTTGAATGAAACCGACTTACGGTAAGTAAAACCTTCGGAACGAGCTGAATTGGTAATCCGGAATGGTCGAACCCAATTTGATCGGATCGGAGGATAAAAAGAATAAAATGAATGTAAAGGAAACGAGATAACCCAAAATAACAAGGACGTGT